CTATTTTAGGACATTTAGGACACTCCCCACTAGCCCATTGGTTCCTTAAAAGAAACCTGAAGGCACCCATTAAACTCCTTAAACAAGCAATTAACTCCAGTGAACAATGCAAAGATACATATACCTTTAAATCTCTCACCCCACCTAGATTACTCAAGCCATTTATACCTACTTAGGTCCTACACATTGATTTCATTGGTCCTTTACACGTACCCTTTCAGGACAAATATGCATGCACTATAGTGGACACAGCAACTGGCATAGTTTATGCTTGTGCCTCAAGGCGCCCACATGCCAAAACCACCCTTAAGGCACTCACCACATGGTTTGCCTTTTATGGCCCACCCCAAATTACTGAATCAGACCAAGGCACCCACTTTACAGCCTCCGCGGTACAGCAACATGTTAAAGGATTAGATATTGATTGGACCTTCCACCTGCCTTACAGGCAGCCGGACAAATAGAAAGACATAATGGTCTTCTTAAACATAAAATGCAGACACTCCTCATAGACAGATCATTTAAAACATTTTAAACAAGAACTCCTTAATCTGGCATGTCTACAATTAAATTCCAGAGCTAGAGTAAATAGACTCTCCCCCATAAAATAAAATAAAAATTACTCCAGCTGAAACTGGTTTGGCTCAGTGGAAAGAGTGTCGGCCTGAGGACTGACGGGTCCCAGGTTCGATTCTGGTCGAGGGCATGTACCTTGGTGGCGGGCACATCCCCAGTGGGGGGGTGTATCTCTCTCATTGATGTTTCTAACTCTCTATTTCTCTCCCTTCCTCTTTGTAAAAAATCAATAAAATATATTTTAAAAATTACTCCAACAACATGTCTTTAACAACCCCATTGCTGATCACATACCTCCACCAAACTCATCTAAAAAACTTCCCTATAAAATCTTGACTAAATCCACTAAGGATGGCTCATTATCTCCACAGGAAATAATCACTCACTCAAGATCATCCCTATTCTGGACAGTTAATGACTCAGGACATCTCCAACAGACCAGAATAGAAAATACCAGTCCTAGGACATGATGCATACCTTACATCAATACTTCATCTCAATTTTTTATATTTTCTTCAGTCCTCACTTTTATTACACTATACTTTCGGATTAAATTTCTCTTTAATAATGAATTTAAGGATCACCTGCACTTGCATATTCCTCTCTCTCCTCCTCCTTATCATACTCTTGACGATTCTGTTGACCCTCCACTGTATGTGGTGTCCATACCATAATTGTTCCCCGCTAATAATAAAACAAGTGAGACTCAGGTCCCTGAGTTTCTACACCAACTACTAGATACTTGCTCCTCAATTTATAACCACACCCTCTGTATCTTTAACAAGTAATTACTCCCTACCCCTTTCTATCTTTTTTTCTAGAAATACTCTGTTCTCCCAACTGGAACAGCAACTGAATCGATTTTTGGCGGAACTTTCTGACTTTCCTTCCCCACCGTTCACCCCCCCTCCCAACCTGGAGTGATTCAACCTCTATGGTTGATTTCTCTAAACCGGTTGGTTGCAATTTATTCTCTTGTCTAACTATTCTTTCTACAATAGGCAGTGAACACTTGGTTGGATACTCTACCCTAAATCTCCCTACACTCTTACCTGAGAGTACCTGAGCTAAACCCGATTCTGACCTACTTTATGCTGAACCTTTCTTCTTCCCCCGAAACTCCCTTATTGAATTCACACCTAATAGCTACATTGCTGCCAACCTACTTCAACTGTCCCTCTTCTCAATCACCATGCAACCTCATACTCCAGAGCCCCTTACATATAACTTAGGCCATTTTTATTTCCTTATCTGCTTTGTGAATTACATATTATAATCATACCTCTCATTCTGATCTTCCTCTTGATTCTTCTAATAACTGCACCCTGCTTTCTCACACTATGAATATTATATATCTTAATAACACCCAGTATTTCTCCTTTTTATTGAAAGAACTTCCCTATATTTTCATTCCTCTGTACCTATCCAATTCTCTATCTCCCTGAAGCATTATACCACCCCTGTTTCCATTAATATCACTATTTCTAAATTAAAAGAACTCCAGAAATACTTTGATAACACCATCAAGAAATTTGGAGCAATATCAAAAGCCATCAACCACCTGCTGCTGATACTCAACAGCATGACCCTCAACACAGCTGTGGACCTGGCCAATCTCAACAAACACCATGACTCCGTGACCACCGTCTGGAGGTTTGTACCTTGAACACTGGAATCTTTTTACCCCCATCTATTCCACCCCAAAAGGATGGAACTCCCTCACTTCTGCTTGGCAAACAGCTAAAACCATTTTATTTCTCTTAGCCATTATCTACCTCTTCTCCCTCTTCGTTAGACTATTAGGCTGCAGAAATAATAAACAAAATTAATTATGATCCTCCTCCCTATGTGTCCCTCGGAGACCACCGGGTGGGATGTTATGTTATGGTCATAAGGAAACCCCTCTAATGTGTGAAATGTTTGCTGTGTGGAGACCCCAAAACTCTGTAACTTCCAAAATGTTATAAACATGGTGAATGCCCCACTATCTTGATGTGAACACCTAAACCCTTAAAGTGTAAACGCCCTGCTCCTAGCATAAGGCACACCTTCGAGCCCACACCGATAAGGCACAGTTGTTCACTGCCGGCTTATAAGCACCGGGCCATCTTCAGTGCGTCTCCGCCTGATGGAGGGGGACTCCAGCCGCCCCATGAAACCAGCCCCTGGCTGACTGCTCTGCTCTGCGAGCCTGAACCAACTGCGGCGGCCCGTCTGTCTCCGTCTCAGTCTGTCGGTGGCTTTCGCTGAAGCCTAGGACCCACTAGGAACAAGTAAATAACCCGTGTGACTGCATCCTAATTCCATCTTGTGTGTTCATGTGTTCCGGTTCGGCCCAACTGACATTGAAGCACCAGGGGATAGGCCGTTATTGCTGACCCCTCGTCACCTGCGTATGTCACACCAAGTCTAGGCAGATAATTAATTGGGGCATAACTGGGACACGCGTCCTTCCGGAGATCCTGGCGTAGGGCGGTGGCGAGGGGGGCGGGGCAGCGAAGGAGGCGGGGGCGGAAGGGGCGGGGGCAGGGAAGGTGCCTGAGGTAGCGAAGGAAGCGGAAGCAGGGAGGGGCGGGGACAGTGAAAGAAGTGGGAGCAGGGAGGGGCGGGGCAGCGAAGGAGGCTGAGGCAGCGAAGGGGCGGGGCAAAGGAAGGAGCTGAGGCCAAGAAAGGACGGAAGCAGGAAGGGGCGGGACAGCGAAGGAGGCTAGGCAGCGAAGGGGCGGAAGCAGGAAGGGGGCTGAGGTAGCAAAGGGGCGGAAGCAGGAAGGGGCGGGGCAGCGAAGGAGGCTGAGGCAGAGAAGGGGCGGAAGCAGGAAGAGGCGGGACAGCGAAGAAGGCGGGGGCAGGAAGGGGCGGGGCAGCGAAGGGGCTGAGGCGGCGAAGGGGGCGGAGGGAGTCCGGATTTCTCTCTTTAACAGCGAAGAGGAACCAGGAAGTTACGCCATAGTTTCCAAGTTTTCTCTTAGTGCTTTTAGGAATTCCTGAGGGTCGCTGAAGGAGCGAAGGAGGAACTGCACGAGGCCGAAAGTGGTAAGGAATTATGAGTTTATTAGGTCATCTCGAAAATAGATGGGCTGAACTCCAAAATGGTGCCAGCATCGGAGATCCGGGAGTCAGAGTTTTTAAAGACTGACTTTAAAGGGGGGCTTTTTCCTCGACGGGAATTCTCTGGGCGGGTCCGGAGGGGAAAGTGACTGGGTCTTAGCAAGTGGAATGCGGTCTAAGCTGAAGGGAATGTCGGCTGCAAAAATGATCTTTAGGTCAATTTGCTGGGGGAGGGGTATCAATTTGATTATTTGATCAGACCTAACGGGCACGAGAGCCAAAGTGATAATTATAAATGAATTGATCATCCTCTTCTGGAAAGCAGATGGGCTCAACCCCCAAATGGTGCCAGCACCAGGGACACAGAGGAGTCAGAGATTTTAAAAGACTCTAACGGGTCTTTTCCTGCGGGAAATTCTCTGGGCGGGTCAGGACCCTGGGAAAGCGACAGGTCTTAGCCAAGGGAATGTGGTCTAAGCCGAAGGGACTGTCAGAGGCCAAATGACCTAAAGGACAGTTTCTGAGGTTGTTTGATCAGGCCTAAGAGAGTAGGGGAGCTGGACGTCTGGGTGGGTTCGTAGGGGTAAAAGTTGCCGGATGCTCAGAATGGGGCTGTTTGGTGGAATCCTTGGTGTTTGGTCTCAGCCTGAGTGCATCCCCTTAGCATGCAGTCCAGCTCTTCTGGCGGTGGGAGCTGGTCCTCTCAGTAGCGACACAACTGTTCACCTGGGAAGAGACGGCGCCCTGTGCTTTGTGCACCAGCCCGCCTCAGTTTCCTGCCTTTGCTTCCTGTGTCTCACTCCCAGGCATGGTAGCTGACGCTAACTTTAGGATAAGGTAACCAGATGTCCCGCTTTTGGTGGGACGGTCCCGATTCTTAACAATTTGTCTCGTGTCCCGCGGTGTTTCCGATTTTTGGAAAGAATCTTTTAAATCTTTTGGACTTTTTTAAAACGCTGCGGGACGCGGGACAAATGGTCAAGAATCAGGACTGTCCCACTAAAAGCGGGACGACTGGTCACCTTACTTTAGGAGGAAGCTCACACCGTGCGGCCTGTGGAGCAGCCAGTGCCGTTCTCTCCACAGAGCCCCCTTTTTGTAGTTCATCCCGGTCACTCAGGGACCCCAAGGTGCTCGTGTGGCTGTTCCTTAGGTGCACCTGTTAGGACGTAGGAGTGTAGCAAGTAGCCCAACAAACCCATGACTTGTGGCTTGGCCCACTGGGAAGGTAAGTGTGCAGGTGAAATGGCGTTTCTGCTCTGTGGCCCTGGCTTGACTCTGACAGAGCTGGCACCACCCTGTTATTTCTGAGGTTTTGTAGTTGTTTGCTGACCGAGGCTCTCCTCTCTCTGCTCTTTTTTAGAGTTACCTTAGCGATGGCGGGGGAGCTGCACGGGCAGGGCCAGGACCTCGGTGTCCACACCTGCGGTGAGTGCCAGCAGCAGGTGGAGACCCACTGGCACTGCACTGAGTGCGAGGCCTACGACCTCTGCGTCCACTGCTACCTCACCAAGGACCACCCCCACGAGATGGTGAAGGTGGGGCTGGGCCTGGATGAGTGCCCCATGAGTGTCCGGGAGTGCCGGCGGCTGGCCATCCGGCGCTGCATCCAGTCCCTGAAGCACGCCCGCCAGTGCCGCAACGCCGCCTGCTCGCAGAAGGACTGCCAGAAGATGAAGCGGGTTGTGCTGCACACCAGGAGCTGCCAGCGCAAGACCAACGGAGGCTGCCCAGTGTGCAAGCAGTTCATCGCCCTGTGCTGCCACCACGCCAAGTACTGCCAGGAAAACCCGTGCATCGTTCCCCTCTGCCTCAACATCAAGCAGAAGCTCCGCCAGCGACGGCTCCAGCTCCGCCAGCAGCGGTTCGGGAACCACCTGCCACAAGGGTAGCTCATGCGCCAGCAGTTGCCACCATCAACACCCATAACGTGCCTCAGCAGTCTGCCTTCCCCGCCTTCAGCCCCACCCTGGACACCCATGCAGCAGCCCAACACGCCCCAGACATCACAGCCTCCGACTCAGTCCCAGCCTTCTTTTGTAAGAATGTCACTAGCCGGCTTCTTCAGCATGGCCAGAACTTAGGGGGGACCTCCCCCCCCCCCCCCCAGTAAACTTCAGCTCCAGCCCAGTCTGCAGAACCTGAACAGCCGTGACTTGCTGTCCCTCCGCTGCAGCAAGCAGTGGGGGGCCTGATCCCCCAGGGCCAGGCCTTGAACATCATGAACCCAGGGCGCCACCCCAGCGTGACGAGTGTGAAGCACAGGACAGAGAAATGCCGCGGAGCAGCAGCAGGAAGGCAGCACTGGCATGGCTGCAGGCCCGGCAGGACACGCCCAGTCCCAGCAGCCTCAGGGGCGCTGATGCCACCCGCAGCCATGCAGCCGCAGCCGATCCAGCAGCAGATTGGGTCCCAGGCCACCCAAACCCTGTTGGGCATACTGTGTCCCTTTACCCCGCCCTCTGCCCTCAGTTTCTCCCCTGCGCTCAGTACTTTCGATTGCCCCTGCTTGAGGCTCCTGCCCCCTCTGCCGTTTTCCTGTTACTCTCATTTCAGATGTCACAAGAGACAGCTAAGCAGCCGAGAAAAGCAGCTCTAGACCCAGCTTCCTGCCACCGCCTGCACCTACATCCGACCCACACAGGCTCATAAATATCCCGCCCTCCCTACCTTGCTTGCTGAAATGGATATACTGGTGTGTGTTAATAATAAAATTTCTAAAACTCTCACATCATCTCTTGGCCTGTCTCCGGTCAGCACGGGCCTAACAAACGCAAGAGCTCCAGCGGCACATGCCCTCAGAGCCACAGGCCCCCCTCGCTGGCCAGCAGACAGACGGCCACATCCCTCGGTAGCCAGGTGCGATCTCCAGCCCCTGGCCAGTCTCCAGACCCCAGTCCCAGCCTCCACATTCCAGCCCATCACCACGGATTCGCCCCAGCCTTCACCGCACCACGTCTCCCCCCAGACTGGTTCTCCCCGCCCAGGATTCCCAGGCACCATGGCCAGCTCCGTAGATCAGGGGCCCTTGGGGAACCCCAGACACGCAATGCTGCCACAGCTGAGGATCCCCACAGGAGTGCACTGCCCGGTGAGCTGTCCCTGGTGGGTGACACCACCGCAGACTCCCTAGAAAAGTTGGTGGAGGATTTGTAGCATTGTGAGGGCGTCACTTTTCCCCCCTCGTATGTTCTTGGACCCTTTGTACTGAAAGCCAAGAATTAGGCTCTTTTTATTCCTATAAAAAGGAGATGGAACAGCTATTTCCAAGCCACGGAAGGGTAGATTGCTACTTAAAGAAACAATAAAAAGCATATGTTTTTGTTAAAAACCAGTTGATTTAAATATCTGATCTCTCCCTTTTAAAAAAATTTTTTATTCTGTTGGGAGGGGTCATTGCTGGTGACTCATGCCTTTTTTAATGGGAAAAAGGTTCATTATTTTTTATTTTTAAGATTTTAAACATGTTTAAAAGAGAAAAAAGATAATATTCAGAAACTGATTCCTGAAGTAATGCAGGCTTATAATGTATCCTGACAACTTTCTGGCATTGTGGGGAGATATTTTTCTGTTATATACTCTGGGCGTTCTCAGATTATTGCCCCTGGATGATAGGAATGGGCTCCTACGTGCACTCACACACACTACACATGCATCTGTACATACTGGCTTAGGATAAACTCTTATCTGGCAGATGTAAAGAATGTGGCTTTGTTTCTCATAAAACTGGTTTCAGACAAAAATAGAGATGACCACTCTGAGCCCATGCTCATGTGACTAGAGAAGAGCATTCTCTCTTGTATGTGAAACTTGAAGTGAGGAAAAGCAATTACAGTGTCAATCATGCTAGTGCTATCATTCCCATAGATAAGAAAATGCAGGAAGATTCAATCATTACAGGTAAAGTACCAACTCATTTCCTAGATTGTTAAATAAACTGTGTACAACAGACAAAAAAACAAACACACACACACACAAAACAAATAACATTACCTTAATGATATATTGAGTTTCTCAAAAGAAAATCCAATTTTAATTTTGAATGGAATTTGGAATTGCACTGACTTTGTAGGTTAATCATTAATTTAATTAGGTCTTAATAAAGCCATCCAAGATGAGGCATTCTATATTAGGCCATCCAATACAAAAGCCTGAGAAGTACTGTACTTACTCAGATCATTTTGTTTTCTTTATTAAAATTTTTAAATTTTATATAGCAGTTTTAGTGTTAATGCCCAGATGTTTTGTGATCCTTATTGCTACTATGAATAGTTTCTTTTCAGTAATATTTTCTAGGAGCTGTTGTGGGTGGGAGAGATGCTGTTAATTTGTGTAGGCTGAGAGCACAAATTAACAGCATCTCTCCCACCCACAACAGCTACTAGAAAACTTGCTGAATCTTATTAGTTACTAGTGGCCCGGTGCACGAAATTCCTGCACATTTAAAGGATTAATTAGAGGAAATAATTTAATATTGCTATTTGCCCTTTATAATGGAAGTGTCAGAGATGAAAGAAAATTAGTAAAATGTATATGAAAACCTTCCTCCTGTCAGAGTCTGGGGCTCACCACGGGACCCAGAGTCAAGTCCCCACCCACTCACATGCACCTCAAAATCCTGTGAGACCCAGACCTGGCCGGCCTCCCATTGGGCTGGATCCAGACCCAGCTCGTCCCGCCCTTGTCGGGACAAAACCCCACCAGACAAGGGGAGTAGCCTCCGGTCCCCTGGCCTGGTGCCAGGATGAGGGGCCTAGCCTGAGGTCCCCCAGCCCAGACTGGGGCAGGGAGCATACATTGAGGTCCCCCATCAAGCCCCACCAGGTGGGGGACATGGCCTGAGATCCTCTGACAAGCCCTGCTGGGTGGAGGGCATGGCCTGACGTTCCTCATCAAGCCCTGCCAGGTGGGGGGAAAAGGGGATGCAGCCTCAGGTCATCCGTCAAGTCCTGCTGTGTGGGGAGCTTGGCCTGAGGTCCCCTGTCAAGCCCTGCCAGGCAGTGGGGGTGCAGCCTCAGATCCCCTGACCCAGTGTTGGGGCTGGGGTGGGGGGCGGGGAGGAACGGCCTGAGGTCCTCTGGCCTGGTGCCAGGGTCAGGGGCATATCCTGAAGTCCCCTGTCAAGCCCCACCTGGTGGGAGAAGAAGCCTGAGGTCCCCTAGCCCAGCACCAGGATGGAAAGCGCACTCTGAGGTCCCCTGTTAAGCCCCACAGTAGCGGGGGAGGGCATAGCCTCAGGTCCCTGCTGATTGCTCATTAAGCCTCCTGCCTCAGCTGTGGGTGCAGCCATCTTTGTAACAGAGTGATGGTCAATTGGCATATTCCCTCTTTATTAGATAGGATAATTTGCTTGAGTCTTTGTCTTATTGTAAGCTGACATTTTGGGGTGTGTGTGTGTGTGTGTGTGTGTGTGTGTGTGTGTGTGAAGAAGCACTCCCTCCACCCCATTTAATTTCTGTGGTGGGAGGGGAGGTGGGGAGGTGGCTCATAGGAAGGAGCAGAAAATGTTTCCTCCCCCCCTCCACAGGGAGGGGCTTGGGCCTCTGTGATGCTCGCCTCTGGGTTCCCTGCAGATTCAGAGAGAGACCTGCTAGTCAGGCCCCGGACCACTGTGCTGGGAGGAAAGGTGGCCTCAGTCCTCGGCAGCAGGAAAGGGGAGGAGAAGGTCACCATAAAGAGGGAGAGATTCAGAGAGGGGGGAGAGGATGGAGAAAAGGGAAAGACTTGAGGGGAACTTGGATGGGTGGGGCCCATCAGGGATGGTAGATGGTAAAAGGGCCTGTGGTTCCAGAAGAGTAGCTGGACAGAGACCCACTATCCAGCAGCATCACCCAAAGAAGCTGGTCACCTGATGTGGGGGCAGTGGGAGCAGCTTAAGCCCCTGGGAGACAGGAATGGGCACCTCCCACCACGGGGTCACACTGACCAACTGGTAGAAGCCCCCATCCCATGACTGCCCTGGTCACCACGCTTTGCTGTGGCCTTAATGTCCAAAGCTGCAGGCATTAAGTGTTAAGCTTGCTTTGGCCCTACCTGGTTTGGCTCAGTGGATAGAGTGTCAGCCTGCAGACTAAAAGGTCCTAGGTTTGATTCCAGACAAGGACACATGCCTGGGTTGCAGGCTCCATCCCCAGTAGGGGACATGCAGGAGGCGGCCAGTCAGTGATTCTCTCTCTCTCTTTATCTCTGAAATCAATAAAAAATATATTTTTCAAAAGTTGCTTTGGTTTGGAAACTTCTCTGCCTACGGTGCAACGGGGCCGCCCTCTCCCCTGCAGGCTACTAGCACTGACTAGGTTGCCGGAGGCAGGACAGGAGACCCTGGTTTAACTGTCCTGGTTGGTGACTCAGAGTTCAGGTGAGGCTGAGTGGCCATGAAACCAGGAAGTGAGAAGGGTGGGCCCACCTGACCCCTCTGCAAGGGTTTGCCTTGGATGAACTGATGGCCACATTCGTCAGCTCTTCTTTGCTGCCTCTGCTGCCCGCATTGCTCCTTTCCCACTGCCTTTCATGAGATCAGCACCCCGGCACCCAGAGCCCTGACTGCGTGGTATCTCTCCTCGGGAATGTGTCCTTTATGATAGAGATCGGGATGAGCAGAGACAGCCCGGCGGGTCTGTTCATGCCTGGACACAGGCAGATGCCTTGTTTCTCACTCAGATGTCAGACCACTTAGTTTGGTAGTTGGGGGAGGTACAGGCCTGGCACTCTTTGTGAGCAAGCCACGAGGAGGCCACACTTCCCTGTATATGTGTAACTCCAAAACAGGGAAGCTATTTTGGAGCAAAGAAAAGGGATCAATGGGATGAGAGAGTAAACTTGGTCCAGGAACGTGAAGACCCTGAGCCTGTCCAGATGCTTCTGAGAGCTGAACAGCCAGGCCGACCCCAGG